TTGCTGAGACGCAGCTGGTGGAGTTTGCCGGCAGCGTGGGCAAGCCCATTATGTTCTGTTGGGTGCGTGGAGGGTAGTGCTGACGACATTTTATTTCGCGGCCTTCGCAAAGCAAAAGAGTGATGCAGTTGCAGAGGCATTTGTCAAACTCGCAGGTATAGGTTATGTCTGATATCAATATCTAATATCTAAGGCCCGCTCATCTCTCCGCTTCGGCACATCGCTGTTTTTGTATTCAGAGCTGAGTCAATCGAGAATCCCACGAGATGATTAGCCATTTATTCAACCCTTTGTATACAACTCTCACTCCGACCTACAGCTGAGCCGGAACAGCTGAGTCGAAGCTGGATATGCGGATAGGGCAAAAGTGCGTAGACATGGACAGCAATGGTGCTCTGTTGCATCTGTGGGGTGCGGTACTCAGCTGTCGCCTGTCTAAGCAGAGTCGCTTCATTCGCTTCGCTTTGAGGTCGAAATCACCTCGACGGTGTCGGCTGGTGCGCGCTGCGCATCCGCCTCGGGGCCACGGGCCGGATGGTGGTTTTCGAGCCATCTGAGCCGTTTGCAGACGCAAAACGACAGTGTGTTCCATCGCATGTGCAGCTTCTGCCCTTTGACATTGCGCGGCAAGGTGCAATGTTTGCGCAGCGAGGCACGAAAAGAAGCGGGACAAGGCTCAATGCTCCGACGCCACGTTGTCTGCTCCGCAGGTGGATGTTGCATCCGGTGTCTCCCGACGAGGGAATGTGCACCAGCACTGGCCCTATGCTTGCGTCACTTGCTGATGCACGGGGTTATGGGACTGTGCAGGGCAGTAGGGCTGGAACCGGGAACTTCAATGCCCAAACTTGCACAAACCAAGTCTTGCATGCTACTTCTGGAAGAAGCGGACAGCCGCTCAAGGCAGAGCGAGCGGCATTCTGAAATCCTCTTTGTGACGTTCGGGTTCAACTTGCGCAGGTTCAGCGCAAAACTTCATGACAAAAACGACCGGCATGCTGAAACGGATCAGCCTGCCGAGGGACGCCTTTGCCAGGCGGCAGCAATACAAAGATGCAGGACAACTTGGCACAACCCATTCTCAGAATCGCAGGCGAGTCGAATGCCACAATCTTGCTCTTAGCACATCCATGCATCAATGCATGATTCATGTTTGGATGGTTGTGAATGTTGGTGCTGAAATTCTGAAGTCCACTGCTTCAGGCAGCGCCACTTAGTTCAGGAGTTTTTTTTATTATTCCACAGCCAACGACATGTCAAGAACACGTGGAATGCACAGGTGCGGCACGTGTCGGCGATGGTTACGGCCTGCCTCCCGAAGCCGGGTCCACCCAGGTGCCACTCCAGCCGCTGCTCGTCAGGCCAGGAGGGACCTACACCGTCGCTGAAAACGAGAGTCGCGAGCTGTGCGGACCCCCAGCTCATGTGCAATTCTCCGAGACTGCAGCATACTGCAAACGGAGGTTGGGCATCTGCCTTAAGAGCATCAAGGGAATTGGCAAAGATGTGCAACTGGCAGGTGCCTAAGTTGACCAAGACACCACGATGCATTTTCCGCGCACCATGCGTAGACACCGGAGAATCCGGAAATCACCTGAGGCCAATGCCAGCTTCATCTGGACCGACCTGCAGTGACAGTGACGCCTCAGGGACAAGCTGCGCTCGTCTCGCCTCTCGAAGGACGGAGCCCCACTCTAAAGAGCTGAGATCTCAGGGCCAATTTCGACAGCATCTTTTCCCTTAAGCTTGAGCGCTTTGCTTTCAAGATTGCTCCAGCCTCAGGCTCAAGGTGAAGTTGGAACTGCAGCCAGGACCTCATGAGCTTTCCTATCCGGTCATCCGCTTGTGGCATGTGACTGCTAAGGCAGGAGGCACTTGTCGGAGTGGTTGTGAGACAGACGGTGATTGTCGAGCCCAGCTCTCAAAGAGTCCTGGTGGGCGTGTGCCTATGGCCCTTGGCCCTTTGCCGAGGCTGCGAGTGAATAACCTTCAGTGCGATGAGTGCAAGAAGAGCTACACGAAACACACCTGGGACAGCTCCGTTCAGGCGCCCTGAATGGCTCCATGGCATTGCTGGTCGGGTGCAGTATGTTGCAGTGCTTCATAGTGCTTCGCTGTGTTCTGGCTCGCAGCTGTGGATTGTCCACAGCAGACTGTAAGGGCATGGAGACGGCCAGAAGGAAGATTGGATTCATTGATGCCCACTTCCACGTGTGGGATGTAAGTGACACGACAACATCCGGGCATGACCCGAAGGTCCTTTTTGCACCCGGTGGCACTGAGTTGTTTGACCGGCGACAGTACGAGACCGCATGCAGCCTTGGGGAAGATTTCCGGCACGAGGGAGGTGTTTTCTTGGAGGCCGTGAGCGTGTGCCATCCGGGACTTCGTGGGCCAGCATACTCATCGCACTGCATGAGTGAAGCAGCCTTTGCAGCCGAAGAGCTGGTGAATCCGTCGGTAGAGCGGGCTTATGTTTTGGTCCCAACCTGTGCCCTGGAGCAGCCAGATGCCGAAGAAGTGCTCATGAAGATGAGCAGCAGCCCTGGCATACGCGGAATTCGACAGATTCTCAACCACCAGCCAGACTGGCCCCGCAACACGGATCTAGGCGACTTGCTCGATGACCCATTGTGGAGGAGGGGATTCGCACTGCTACAGAAGTTCAACCTCAGCTTCGACTTGCAGTTAAATCCGCACCAGTTTGAGAAGGCGGCTAGGCTGCTGCGTGAGTATCCGGGGATCACGGTCATCATCAACCACCTCGGCAGTCCGCGCTTGCAGGATCTAACAGCTGATGCTGATACGTATTGGAAAGGAATGAGTGAGCTAGCCAGTTTGCCCAACACCTACATGAAGATCAGCATGCTTTGCTACACCGACTTGAACTGGGATTCGAACCCAACCGTCCTAGACGCAGTCCATCGAATCATCAAGCTATTTGGTCCCGAGCGTTGTTTGTTTGCGACCAATTCCCCGGTGGATGCCAAAGATGGATGGCCACCCAAGCGGTTGCTGGCTGCGTTCTTAAATCTGGCCAAAGTTTATCCTGAAAGCTCCATTGGAGATCTCTTCAGCGGCAGCGCCAGGCGAGCCTATCGTTTCTAACTGAATCGAAGCTGCAAATATTGCGTGCAAAAGTGGTGGGTGCTTTGCCACCCAAGCATCCAACGTCTCGCCGGAAATGCAACCTTTGAGAGATGCGCAAGGGTCGAGGGGAATTTGCGGAGTTGTGGTACGGAGGTGCATCACACATGTAAGGCCTTTCTGGAACACATGCCCACGAGAATACGGGCCGAGCGCCCTCGTGATTTTTAGCAGGCAGATTAGGGAGACGCGTAGAGCCACGAAGTCATTTCTGGACGAAAAGGGATCATTGCATATTTCGAGCCGAAGCTTAGGAGGGCGTTGCGCAGAGGGGAGATCACGGCGAAAGTGCGTAAGATGTGAGCATAAGCCTCGACAGAATGTCTCACAAGTTCCGACAAAGAATTGTCCACGGGTTCCTGCAGCTTATGCCTGCTCACTGTTCAAAAACCTTCGGCTCGGGTTTGGACAGGTTCGGCAGCGCTCAGAGCTCGGCTCCCGGATTCACACTCTGCTGGGCACATGGGTTTCTACAGACCTTCGGGTTGCTATTCAGGCACAGACGGACATTGATGATGCTGGAGCAGCTGATTCTAAAGCACAAGGTGCACTTGTTTCAGACCTGCTGACTCTAACCTTGTGCAATGGGTCTGTCAGGCTCACACGAAGTTGATCCAGTTGACGCCAACGAAGGCCTCAAGAAGTGCGTTGTGATAGGTGCGGGTCAGGCCGGTGATTCCAGCCCGGCGCATGCTCGTTGAAGCAAGCTTGCATGAAGCATAGAAGGCCATGCTGGTCAAGCTCAAGCATAGTCAATGCACCCGGCAGGGCATGCCTCTCTGTTGACTGACCGGCTTCTAGCACAAGTGTCCATGGCCACGTCTCCACAGTTTCTCCTTCACTCCAGAAGCTGGCCGACATTACATCCAAAGTGCCCTTGTTGGAGCAAGCAATTACGACGAGGCTCTCGTCAGCGCATGCTTGGAGCATGAATGAAGACTGTTTATGAGTTTATGAGAAGACGGCAGCTGCACGGTGCTGCACGAGGAGGGTTTGGATTTCTTCTTCAGCAAAGAGCGGGATGCACAGGCAGGAGACGGCTACCTCTTTTGGGAACAGTTGTAGCGACGGTTTTGGGCTTCAGGACTTCGTATCGTTTCTCAAGAACTGGGCTGTGGCTACAGCCTTGACTGTACTGAGTCTTCATCTCAAATTGTTTGCCAGTGGGTTCGTCGCTTCCAAGGTCAAGCACCATGAGTCCAAGCATTTGGTAAGCCACAACGCGCAGAACACCACGTGCCACCAGGGGAAGTCAGAGCAAGTCGGGGTGGGAGAAACGCTCGAGTGCAGGTACAGGTTCAAGCGAACTACATGTGTTCCGGACTCTGCTGGAAGCCAGAAGGTGGTGTCAATGCCGAGACGCCACATACAATCCATGTGCTCCCAGGTAGAAGTTTGCCCGATTTGCTGGTGCCCCAGCCTGTTTTAGACCACCCCGTCGAAGCTGCATGCCGTAGGCCGGGACGATTTGGTGTTTCTGCCGAAGAAGACGGCACAGGCCACAGAAAAGGTCAACAATGCCAATGCAATGACTATGGCAATCTGAAGGGACAAGTGTAAGTGCTCACCTCGACTCATATCTGCTCGGTGTGCAGGCCCTGGGAGGCTTGCCGCCACTGATGCCAGCCCCTCGGTTCCGCGAACTGGAGAAAGCCCGCTGCAAAAGCCTGCTGAGGCTTTGTCTCAAGGCTTCCTCACAGCTCTGTCTCGTCGACCCTGCGTCCTCTCGATGTGTGGAGGCTGTGAAGAGCACTGACAGCCATCGGCTTCCAAACCGCTTGGGTTTACTGATCAAACGTGAGGTTGCCAGCGCAGAATACTGGCGGAAGCCCTTCCAGTCCGCCCCAGCCTCAACGGTCTTGCCTTCTTTTGGATAGTTCTGCGCAGATCTCCATCCGCTTCTCCAGAGTCGGTGGTGGCACGCAGGGGCTCATGAGCCTTCCAGGCATCATAGCCTCGGAGCACAGGCAAACGAAGCCCCGAGGCCCCGAAGAGCTTGTTTTCAACCATTCTTTTAAAGCAGCACAAGGCTAAATTGAAAGAGTCTCCGAACGATCATCGCTAGGCTGCCTTCTGGAGGAAGGAGCGGTGCTCTACAAGCTTGATACTTTGATATTCTTCTTGTTTGGTCACATGGTACGCAACAGCGGAGCTAGAGAGTGCAGCTTGTGCTCCTCCTGGATTCGCAGACATGCTGTTTGTGGTTCTGAGTTCAGACGAACCCGCTCGTGGTTTGATCGTGGAGTCATGGATGGGCTCTTCAAGATAAACCCGTGAGGCTAGAAAAAGCGACAGAAGTAGCCCGTTTCTCTCGATGATTGTGAGGTAAGCATCCCTTCCAAGTTGACAGCCTTGCCCTAAGTGTCTTGCTTGGGACCAGGGACCCAGGGAATACGAACATACTCAGACATCGACGAATGATGCAGGAGTTCATCGTTTTGGACATTGAGGAGTCTTTGCCTCATTGCTTGATTTTCGGCACGTGATCTCAGTCCTCAATCAGATGCTGCCATGGAGGTCTGACCTTGCGCGAGGGCGCGGAGGTGCAGGGGTTCAAAAACTATCTGTCGACGATATACGGACCTGGTATCACAAGCCGGCAGAGTTTGAGGCAGTGCTGCGTCTGTGCAGCCATGCGAAGTTGAGGCACGGAGATCCCAAGAGCAGTAGCGGATTCACAAAAGCTCGGCTTTCCGCAGCACCTGTGTCAGATCGCACGCATTGCTGACTTCGGGCACAATGTGGATGCCCTGAAGATCGCTGTGCTCGTACTCGTACATAGATTTGGGCCCAACGTCCCCAAATCTTGTCGAATAATCCGAGGACGAGCGTTTGACGGTGCGCTGCCACCTAGGCACAGGGTGGAGGAGCTGTGCAGTGAGTTGTGCGCCGAAGCATTGCTTGCAGGTGCAATCCTTCATGTCGGGGACCGTTTTGGGATGGGATCGAAAGGGGTCAGCCGGAGGTAGGGATCTGCGAACAGCCGGATCACCAAAGTCCAATTAGGCGAGTCGCGATGCGAGCTGGCAGGACTCTGTTTTGGGCTACGACCTTCGATCCTTACATCTTGGCCGCGGCCTTCTGCGATCCCCTCAGCCAGTCCTTGCAGAGATCTCGGATACGACTCGAGGTATGGACGAAGACGAGCTGGGAGGAGTGCGGCCCCCGTGATGTCGCATGATGCCATAGAAGTCGCTACCTACGAGTCTTCCCGAAGAGTCTTCCCAGCTTCCAGGTCCCACCCTTGGAGGTGTACCTGGTCAAGAAGAAGCGACCAGAACGCAGGAAACTTAGCTGGAGGCACCTTAACAGCATAGGGCGATTCTTCCTGCCATCACCACCCAGGCACGAAGAAAAAGAAGCCACATCCAAAGCGTGGTAAAGGCCGCTCGAAAATGTCGGAGAAACGCACCCGCCTCTACCAAGTGGTCAGGTGTGCTCAGCACAGCAGCTTCTGTGCAGAGCAGCTTCCTGGAACCAGACAGAGAGGACGATGCAGCTTACCACTGCGGACCAGGATGCACCGTTCAATTCGGCAGGACAAGCAGCCCACAATGCCTGCAGAGGAGATGGGCATCATGAAAACTACAATGACAATAAACTACACATTTTCAGAGATCCATGTGGACACTTGATGCAGAGGACGAGCACCCAGAGGACATGGAAGACGAGGCGAGCTGCGTTTGGAATATTACAACACATGACCATGAAGTAGACGAGGAATATGAAGCTTGAGAGGCTGCCGAAATGAAGGCAGCCGCCGAAGCGCTTCTGACACAGCTGGGCACACAGAAACGGAGCAGTTGAGTGCTGTACGTAGATGCTGCAGATGCCAGCATCAATTGGGACGGAAAAGGGCCCTTTGTGACTGACAGCACTGCCTGCAGGCTGGGTGCTTCCGGGACATTCAGGCTGGCATCACTGTGTCACGCCTGGCTGGACCTTGGTGCATCCTTCCAGATCCGCAGATGAAGTGGAGCCTGGCAGAGAGGCGCACGCATGCTTGAACAGCTACGTGGCACTAGTGTGCAGAGCTTGACTGCTGTTGCTACTTGCCTGTCTGCTTGGAGCTTGACACCTCCATTCAGCCTGGCAGCACAGCGACAAACATGAGCACAAACCCCTGCAAGCAAGACTAGAGGCCTAGGTTACTCCACAGTGCAGGACAGCAGGCAACGACCATGCTTGTGGATGTGAATCGAAGCAGTTGAAGCAACATGCAATGTAAGCTTGGGCCAACGTCATTATGACGTGGGACATGACCGACGACTTGTACAAGACCCGGCGGTGCAAGGCTGGCATTTCCTTGAAGGTCCTCGGACACCTCCCACGAATCTCGTGCTTTTCAGGCCGTCGTTGCAGAGGCGCCGTGCCGCCCCTCGCTGCAAGACTTTCGCAGCTGCATGCGGCAAAAGGCACTAATGCAGGGACAGCAGCGCATGCGACGCGTGCAACTCTAGTGATTACACCGTGCTGTCTTTGGCTTGGCCTCACTGCGGAAGACCAGCATAGGACGAGGATTGCTCCTCGCCCTTGACTGACAGCACTAAACACGTGGTGAGTGCAAGCTGAGGCCTTGGCGAAGCATGCACGCTCCTGGGAAATCAAACTAAAACTTAGCGACCGTGAGAAGTTTGCAAAGATCAGCTGCCACCTGCACGATCCTGACCGTTCACCTGTGAGAATGTCTTGATCTCATGGAGGGTCAGCAGATTGAAGGCTTCGAAGAACTCTGCAAACATGCAGCTGCGCTGCTGAGATTCGCACATTCGGCCGCGGAGCTGCGGCCTTTCCCGTGGCCTGAGCCATTGGCTGAGCACTGGCGAGGACAGCACCACAACACGTCAGAGTTTTGAAGATGCTTCAGTTAAGTCCCAAGTCAGCTCCACCGTTGTTTGTTCGTGACTGCCTATTCGACCTGCATGATCACATGTGCGAGCTGTTCCCTGGCAGTCTACACTTGACAAGCGTTCTTCACATGTGAGCTCAATCGGAACTCTTGAACTTGCCTCACAGAAGTTCGTTATTGTCTGAAGTGAGCAGTGGTACACCGCTGCTCGCTCCTGAGTTCTTGTGTAAGGCAGATGCGAGAATCGTACTGCTGCGGAGTTTGGGGATTCTATGTCCCAATGTAGCCATTTCACTCTTTGCGTTTTCGTCAGGCTTGCCGTATACTGTATATTCCATGCCGACTGCGCGTACTAAATTCGCACTGCTTTTCAGACTATTGCTAACTAAGCCACAATTCAGATTCAGAAGTGTACTGGAAGGGTTTCCTGACGATCGCTCAAGGCTGTCAAGGTTGTGCATCAGTTTGCCCTGCAAGTTTCCGTGTAATCTTTGCAAGCACACCTTTGCTATCCCTCTCTCCTCCTTCTCTTCAGCTATCTTCAGCTCAGCCCGGGACGTCGAATTCGTGGATTGCAGGATAAGGTCATTACCAAAAAGCAGCGCAAATGACAGCGGCCGTTGCTGGATTCGCGGTGTGGTAGTTCGGCCTGGATCGTTGCTGCGGCTTGCCATCTTGTCTGATTGACCCAACCTACCAGCACCTGTCACAACTTCGTGACGCCGGCCTTTGTTATTCCAGAAGTTTTCCACGTCGCATCGAAAGCCATCCATTTTTGTTGGCACATACATTACCGGATCAATAGCCATGAGTTACTTGTGCTGCCGAAGGACCTACGATCCGAAGGTCAGTGGGAGGAACTCATAAATGGCAGGTTTGGGAACAATGTTCGCATTGTCCGACTTCTTCAGGACAAGTCTCCATTGGAGTCGTGGAGCACGCCATGTTTTGGGATCTGCCGCCCATTGGCACGCTCGACGTGGTTTGCAACCGCCGTGGCCTCAGATAGCGACACGGTTATCACAGACGTTTCTTGAACTGGCGTGGTGTGACAGTGTCCTCAATCAAGGTGCCACTTGCTTGGGAAACCCTTTTGGAAGCTGTAGCATCTTGGCTTGTCGGCACAACCCCGGTTTTGTTGTAACTGCGGACAGGAGACCTTTCTGTTCGGCGTTCTGGTGTTCTGCTTGCGGAGCTTGCGTCTGGCTGATATTTGTCTTCAATCGCAGCCGAGGCTATGCGGATCCCTCCCAGCGCCCTCCTGTGGATGCAGCTGGCTGGTGTGCTGGAGAGCACGAAGTTCTTGTTTCCGCATACGACGAATATCTGCAGGCTTCCTGCTTTGCAACTATCAGCGGGATTGGCTATGAATGGCAGCCTGCTGTTCAGGGAGCCTTGCAGCTGTTGTAGCTGCAGCTCAACTGCAGGCAGTCCTCAGTCAGGACGCCTCGACAGACTTGCAGGAGGACGTCCCGAGAGACTGATCCGAAAAGTATTGTAGAGCCGAGAGATCGGAGCTGAAGGGGGCCCAAGGCATTTACAGATTTCAGTCTTTGAAACGTCCGTGACCGTGCGCATGCCCCCCTCAGGAGGTCCGCCGTTTCTTGACAAAGTGGCAAAGCTTTGACCAATCCTCCGTTCCCATCACTGCATCCGCCACGAGGGGCGAGCGACTGCAACCTTGTGCTGAGGTATCGCTGAAAGACGATCGCTCTTGCTCTCCGATGCCTGGGAGAAGCAAGACCTAAAGCGGGAAGATGTCAGAAGCGCACTGGATGCGTTGGCATCACAGGTGTCCAGAGGCTGCTTTCTGAGGCTACTGTGTCACTGCAGGCCTTATGTACCTCGGCTTCTTGACGGGCACATGGCATCTGTGCAGACCTTGCCTTGAGTCGAAGCCTTCTTGGCGGCAAGGTACGCTGCCATGCCGAGAGTATCAAGAGATACTTGGATCAGTTTACAAAGTTGGATGCCGGTGTACCAGCTCCTCTGCCGAACCCTGGCCAAGAAAAGGCTTGCTGCACTCTACCGTCCACTTGTGTTTGAACTTGCTCGTCTTGCTGCTGTCCGAGGAATCAAGGGCCGGTGGACATCGAGGGCCGAGTTTGGCCAAGTTCAGCCGCCGCCGATGCTTGATTGCAGAGGGAGCAAGGCCCCGTAGCTGCAGCCTCCGCCCTGCGAGCATTTCACAGGAGCGATGCAGTATCCGAACGAAGCGCCTGACCTGCACGCGCGCTGGCCGGGCTTTGGATCCGGGATCGATGATACTTGGACCAAAGCAAGGGGAAAGCTTCTCCGAGACATATGAACAAGGGCCTTTGTGAACACCTGAGGAAGTCGTACTGTGCACAATGCTGGTCGTACCATTCAGTGGTCTACTTCTGGCCGGATTGGGACGATGTTTGGCCCGAATGCTTTTACCGTGATGGCTATGTGCAGTGCACATCTGGAGCTGATGATGCTGATAGGGAAGACGACTGTGCCTATGTCGATCGACCTCTTTGCTCCTTCTACGTGAGAGGTTGTTGCAAGTTCGGAAATGATTGCTGGTATCGGCACGCGAAAAGGTTTGAGCTGCAAGGAAACCATGAACATGGCAAGCTGTTGCGGTTGCGGAGTTTAGGGGGGTGTCCACTTGCGCTTGCTACTGCAGGTGGCCACGCCAGGAGATCCTGGCGGAGGCGCGGGTTTTGACTGCCAAAGGTGCCAGTGGCATTTTTTCAGAGCTCCCGTTGCAAGTTGTCAGATTGACTGCACAGTGCTGAAGCAATCTGTAATCAGTGCTTCTCTGTACAGCGATGCAGGGTACTTTACGCACTCAGGTTTAGTTGCCACGGCACTTATGGGTTCATGCCGTTTGTATTGGAGACTTGTGCCTTCCACTGGATAGCGCACGTCGTCTGACGAGGCAATGCGGTGCTAGACGTTCAACGAGGAGGCTATTCACAGTGAGATTTAATGCAGCAAAGGTTCTGCATGCGCAGTTTTCCATTGCGACGAAAAAGTTGGGCCTCCAGCCCAGCAGGCCTTCTGAGTCAAGCATAGTCAAACCACGAGGCTGCGAACGAGGAGAAAATGGTGATCCCTTGGCCCCTCATGGTCAGATTACACACGCATGCACCCGATTGCATGATGGCAATGCCGAAGGAGCGCTTGGAAATCTTTTTGCCTGCCTCAGACCGCGGCTCAAGCTCGAGCACTGATAGTTTTTTCATCTCTCGACCCTTCTTTTCCGACGTTGGTGCACAGGGAAGTTGCGAGCATTCGCATCATGCCAAAGAAAGCAGAGAGCGAGATTGCAGACTTTCTGCAAAAGCTGGCACCGAACCTGGAGGCCCGGCATGGCCGAGCTGCAAGCTTTACAAGCAGCTGAGTTGCTCAGTGAGACTTTGATGGAAGGACACGGTCCGGAGCTTCCTTGTTTCAACGTTGGCAGAGGCAATTTCGGAGGCGAGCTCGCAAGTCTTGCCTGTCTCAGACTCGGCTCTTTATATGCAACTGCCACGAGACAGGAAGAAGTGAGAGAGTGCTGCGACAATTGGCTTGAAGAGGCGCCGAGACGAAGCGCAGTTATGCAAAGACTTTCAAAATCCCCACAACCAAGGTCGATGGAGGATTCCAGAGTCTTTACGACTTCTTGGGGCTGGACGAAGCATCTCCAACTCCCGAACCACCGAAGGACAGGTTCGCTGACTCAGCTTGTCACGGATTCGATCCGAAGTTCGCATCGAGGCTCCGCCAAAGCTTGCAAGCACGAGCCTTAGAACTTTTGCCCCAACTCAAGAAGCACCCTGGATAGTGACTGCCTGCAAGGTGCTGCTGGCTACCCTCAGCAGCAGTACCCGCCTGCTGAGGCCAAGGCACGCGTCCATAACACTGTCACTTCATGTTTCACCTGCAGGAGGCGATCTCGCACGAAGAGCACAAGGAGGTGGAAGAGGTGATCGAGCCTGCGCTGGATAAAGGTACCCTGGACAAGCAGTAAGTTTTACGGTTGAGCACTTCTCACTTGTCGGCTTGTGTTGCTCCAGTTTCACTTGCTGTCAATATCGTACCCTATATTTTCAGATGTATGGTGCGGATGCTGAAGCAGTAAGTTTTGCCGCATGAGGATAGGCTAGGCTTCTGTCAACAAAAGGAGCTCCCAAATCGTATTCGGTCAACTCAGACCCAAGAAGATCACACTGCGAGGCATCTTCCATCACAACTCTTGGCAGACCAGCAAGCTGGCAAACCGGCTTGCCAGATACACAACGTCCACACAAGCAACATGAGATCCGGCCCGGGCTTCCAGCTCCCCTACACAAGTCCAAGGACAACCCAAATACTAAGTTTCTGACACGCGTCCAGGGCAGTGTGGCCAACAGTTGGAGCAAGGCGTGGGGTCGTCAACAGCCTCATGCACAGTACATGCTTGGCGCTTGGCCCTTCCAGACTCTCGTGATAAGGGCACGAGAGACTGCCGGCCTACGGAGACATGCTTGCAGCTGCGCCAAAAGGGGCATGGACAAAGGCAGAACACCGTACCAGGCCAACAGTTTTGCTATTTTGCTTAATCCTTAGCCCAGCTCTGGCAGTCTTTCGTTCCGTCGCGAATCCTTGCCTTGTACTTGTGCTAGCGTGGAATCGCGTGGAAGTCGAATGAACATGCCGCAAACACGAAGAGATGAAGTCAAGCGCTCTGTAGCCGAATCGAGGCAAGAAGTCCAAGGTGAAGGCGAAGCCCAAGAAAAAAGTCAAGGAGAAGGAGGGCTTAGGAAAGGAGAAGCAGCTTGACGAGCTCTTGGAGGTGCGAGCACGGGTCTCTCGCTTCCACAAGGAGGCAGTGGAAGACGAGATGACCTCTGCAGTCGCCGAAGTTGACGTCCATGATCTTTGCATTTCAGTAGCAGGCCGTGACCTGCTGAAGGACGCTCACCTGAAACTCTGCCCTGGTCAGCGCTACGGCTTTGTGGGACGGAACGGTTCCGGTAAGTCCAGCTTGTTTCGGGCCATGGCCTCACGAAGAATCCCAGGCTATCCTCCGAACTGTGTGACCTTGCTGGTCGACCAGGAAGATGTAGGGGATGAGCGCACAGCTGTGGAGACCGTGCTGGCGGCACACCAGGAGTTGAGCTATGTGCTGGAGGAGGAGTCGGCTCTCCAAGCTGGCGAACTGGGCAGCCCGGAGGCGGCTGTCAAGGCCTCCCGCGCCTACGCCTATTTGATGGCCAAGAGAGCCAGGTTCAAAGCCGCCATGTACGAGAGCAAGCTGAGCGGACTCCGCGGGAAGGCTGCTCGGGAAGCCCTCCTCCAAGCGGAGCACGAAGAAGCAAAAGCTGCTGAGCATCTTGAGGCGGAAGTCTCGTGTTCAGAGGCCACCGCAGAGACACAGGCACATGTCGTGGAGCTTCTAGCAGACATCCGGGAGCGATTGCGGATTTTAGGTGCTGATTCAATGCGAGGGCAAGCAGAAGTCATCTTGAAAGGCTTGGGCTTCAACGAGGAGGACCTTCGAAAGCCGACGCGCCTACTCAGTGGAGGCTGGCGGATGAGGGTTGCCCTGGCTAAAGCCTTGCTCGCGAAGCCCAACGTCTTGCTGCTGGATGAGCCCACGAATCACCTGGATTGGCAAGCCATTCTCTGGCTAGAGAAGTATTTGGTGTCAGAAGACATGAACGAGATTGCCTTGGTAGTTGTCTCTCACGACCGGGACTTTCTCGACAAGGTCAGTACCATGATACTTCGCTTGTTTGAAATGAAGCTTCAAGTGCACAACGGCAATTTTTCAACTTTTGAGGAGGCCCACGAGAAGGACCAACAGCACCGCGCGGAACTGGTGCAGAGGCAATCTGAAAAGCAAGAGAAGGTTGAGAAGCAGATCAAGGAGATGGAGCAGCGGGGCCGGAAGACCAACAACGATAGCCTGCTGAAGGCTGCAGTCAGTCGAAAAACCAAGTTGGGACTGGATGATAAGCCTTGGTCCTTCAATCGTGTAGGCTTAGAGCGAGCCGGTGGCCACAAGTTCAAATTCAGCTATGCGACGCACTTCGAAGCCATGGAAGAGATGGCGGTGGAGTCCAAGGAACAGGCAGTGCGCCTGAAGCTGAAATCGGCAGCACCCCTTGGCTTCGAGGCCGCGCTACTGCAGTGCCGGGATGTGGTGATCGGCTACGAGTCCCGGCAATGGGAGGGTGACGGGTCGTTACAGTTAAGGTTTAAGTTTTAAGTGTGCCAGATAGTAAGGCACGGACTGACTTGGCTGCCGACTCAGGAGAAGGCCAAGCCCTTGGTGCGGAAGTTCGACCTAGATATCCGGGACAAGTCGCGAGTAGGACCGCCAGGGCGTAAAGCATGGGGAAGGCCGCATCGCACTGGCATCAACTACGCATCTGCTGCAAGTGCAGGAATCCTCGGAGTGAATGGGAGCGGCAAGACGACCTTGCTGCGGACGTTGGTTCAAGACCTGCCCTGCCTGGCCGGTGAAGTGTATCAGCAACCACGCTTCTCGATTTTGTACTTCAGGAGGTGCAGGTTGAACAAGCTGTTGAGTGTGGTCACTGGACAAGTCGATAGGCTTGGCAAGTCTAAGTGAGTCATCATGGAAGGATTTGACTATGGACTAGAATCTAGAAGCTGCCTGTCAATCTCAGAGTGCAGAGCAAGGTAGCTGCATGATTCCCAGGTGTCGTAGTTGGCTTCTTCAGTCAACATCAGGCCGGCAGGGATATGCTGGAACGGATCTTTCCACGTGGACTTTTTTGGATGCTGGCCTCACGTTCTGAAAGACCTCACTGCTGAAGCTGGGGATTTGGCAGCCAGGCGGACAACTTGCCCAACGATGCCACCGCTCTGGAGGCCTTGTGTGAGAGCATCTCGTCCGAGGATTTTAAGATTGCTTTGTACACTAAGCATACCGAAGATGAAGAGGCTCACCGCAGGGAAACTTGTTCCAACCAGCCCAAAGGATTGGAGTAAGCGGTAGACACACCGGCATTCGTTCGGAGATCATTGGGAGCGAGCACGGAGAAGGATCGGAAGGCCCGAGGAAGCGATGCCAGATCAGCCTTGAGCCCAATCGCATCATGCTCCCGGCCGCTCACCTAATGCACATAGTGCTTGTAGTACAGTGCGTGACGGCAGGAGGTCAAAGGCTACAGGCAGATGGCATGTGATTCCTCCTGTTGATATCTAAACCGAACAGGTGGCTCAGCGATGCTCTTTGAGTCCTTTGCTGAAGCTGGCAGTGAATCCAGGACATCCCAATCTCACAGAGGGCGAGGTGCGTTCTCACCTTGGCAGCTTCGGTTTGGGCCGCTTGGCCGTGTCACCCGTCAGGCGCCCCACATGTTCACTCGTCTTCAGTGAGATTCGTCGTCAGCCGCTTGCTGCAGGTGCCTGTCGGGAGGAGAGCGCAGTCGAGTTGCTCTGGCGGCTGCCACGTTGAGGCCGCCACACGTGTTGGTGCCGAACTCAGCATCCAGGTTAGGGACCGCGCAAGTGCTATCACCACACCCGGCGAACCAAACTCAGGTTCTGGACGAGCCGACGAATCACTTAGATCTGCAGACCGTAGAAGCCCTCGGTAACGCCCTCAAGGATGGGACCGATTCCAAACTTCGCAGCCATGTTGCCTCAACTAGCGTTTCACCGGAGGACTTCCAGGGGAGCGTGGTCGTCACTTCTCACGATCGTCGACTGCTACGTGAAGTCTGCACCGCTTCCCGTCAGCAGAAACTTTCAGCTTGCTGTTTCGTACGTTGGTCAGCTTTTTCAAGGCCCACTCATGGCTTCTTAAGGACTTTCTTGCAGTCCAGAACAAGCAGCTTGTGAAGCTCAGCCTGGATGCGTTCGTCCGCTCTGTGCGATAATGATTATTGCTCTTCACCCGGCCATGCCAACTTGTACAGTGGGCTTCCTCGCCTGTTGTGACATCAACGTCGCGGCAGTGAGCCCGGATTTGGCATTGCTGCACCGGGCATAGTCAGGCCAAAGAGCCCTTGCACAAGCCCTTGGCAAGGCGCGGCTTGTGCAGATCTTTCACGAGCGGCTCCCAAGCTCAATCGGCTGTGCACCAGCAAGGCCGGAAAAGTCGAAGTAGCAGGCGTGAAAAAACGCCGGATTCGCTGTACAGCTCTGTCTCCGGGACCAGGAGGCTGAAAGTGCAAAAGGCCAGCCTGTACACATGACGACTCTTGAATTCACCGATGTCTCCGATGTCTCCTATCATCGCAAGACATGGCCAGGGTCAGTCCTGGCTCCTCCGGCCCGTGCCGTGCCTGAAAGCCAAGCCACCAGCGCACAGTGGGTCTTTAGAGTTACCACAAAAAAGACAGAGCACAACTTGCCAGCCTTCATGCACACGTGGTGTCTACTTCATGCGTGCTCCTCGAGGCAAGGTCGGCAAGGTTAGGTTTACCGGCTTGGCCTGCCATGGGGAAACGAGCATCTGCGCCCAAGGCGAAGCCACCTGCCAAGCGGAGCAAGGTGTCGCTGGCGGCGCCGCCACCAGCGCCAGCTGTCTGGGCTCGTCCAATCCCGCCGGTCCTAACGGAGCGAGATCCTCTCGCAGTCTTCCTGCTTGATATCGAGGATGGACAATCCTCCATTGGAACTGGAGACCACGAGCTCCGGCTCTATGGCATCACCAAGCAGGGCCACTCAGTCTGTGCGAGGATCCACAACTTCCATCCGTATTTCTACGTGCGGTGCGACCCGGAAGTGGTGGGTCGCGAGAACGAAATCCAAGCAGCTCTGCAAGCCGCCATGCCACCGTCTCCGGCAGGATCGCAGAAGGCGATCGTTGCAGTGCCCTGGCTCAGCAACGCTCAGCATGGCTTGAGAAGCCCTCCACACAGTCTGCATCTTTAGGTCCAGGTAGTCCGGCGGACGCCCATCCTGTACTTCCAAGCTGAAGAGATCCTCCTCATGGTCAGCGTTGCCGGGCCCAAGCTACTTTCTCTGAAATGTTGGAGCTCTTGCCAGTACGCATTCGCAACTGCACATGGCTGTTCATGTGCCTCGCTCCCCGACAACCCCCCACGGCTTTTGCCTAAGGCTCGTGTCGCCATGCTTGAAGGCACGGGCGGATGATCGAGCACATGCGCATAGGGTACCAGTGGCAATCAAGAGATTGGTGAAGCTGCTGCAGGCCCTCGAAGGCCTCCAGCTGAGCAACTCTGAGGTACAGGCCACCGCAGTCTTTGAGGCCAACATTGAGCCCCAGCTGCACCGAAGAGGTGGCAAAGCAATGCTGGACGGTTCCCCGGCCAAGGGATGCCTGCTTCCCCTGAGGCATTGATCCTGCGTTTCCTTATCGACAACGACTTGGGAGGTGGACGCTGGATTGAGCGCCTGACCTTGTTCTGGCTTCCTGTAAATTCCTGTTAGATTGAGGAAGAAAGCGACTAAAGCACGTCCGGGCCGGCTCAGGTTTGAAGCCGGGGCCTTTCTGGTGGTAAGTGAGACGTCGAGGACACGGTTTCACCCCTCGTCGGAAGACATGCTGCTTGATGCCTTGCATGCAGTGACATCAATTTGACATAAACCATGCGAATGCGATACAGGAGTACCACTGCGCAAATTGAGCTGGACGTACATCTCGGACATGGAACCAAGTTTCGCGCACTGCCTATGGCCGCTCGGAGAGCCTGAAGGCTGTGCCAGCATGAGCACTCATGAAATCTCATGAACACGGAAGCAGAACCTTCGGGTCTTGAAACACAAGGACACGGATGCTGGATCTTTCGTTCCGCCTCTGCGAACAGCTGCGCTTGAGCTGTCTGTGCCTTTGCTGGACCATTGAAGGAAGCAGTGTCCACCACAATAAGCTTTCATGCAAGCTGAGGTCGACGTAGAATCGCAGTTGGTGACGGGCGCTGCATGCGTTCTGACCGTGGAGGGGCAAGCGCAGCCCGTTGCAAGGGCAGTGTGGCTCCGTGCACTGGATCCTTGCCAAAGCAGTACGGTTCACAAACAAAAAGGTCCTCGGGCCCAGCTGATCTTCTGCATGCTAATCAAATCCGACGCGTCCTCCACCCGAGGCGACGCAGCAGGTGACTGAGGACCCCTGCTTTCATGCACATCTGATACATTCTGATACGAATGGAAAAGTGTTGCGTGCAGAGGAGGCAGCAGACTCAGCGGTACTCTTTCTCTCAGAGGACGAGGAGGTTTTGTTGCAGCACCTGGGTGAGAGCCCCGGCAACCAACAGACCTTGTTCGCCTTAGTGAGGGTAGCCGCGCAGCCCAACACAGCCTGCTCAAGTGCCGGAGGCGCAGGGGTGGGCGGTTCAAGACTGGGTCGTGTAAATCGAGTTCTCTCCAAGCCGTCATGGTCATGTTGCAGTCCCACCAGATTCCACGGGCTTGAAAGGTTTAACATGAAGACAGGCCAGGTAATGCAACAATCGGAAACCAAGCCCCGAAGCTTGTTCGGTCATTGGATGGTTGAGCAAAAACAGCTCAGGACGCTAGCCGCAATGGATGCCGACATCATTTTGACTTACGACTTGTCCGAGACCGTGCGGCGAATGCTGGGCAAGAGAGGCATCGCGAAAGCCGGATCTCCACTGGCCCGGAGTCTTTGTCGAAGATTGGGAGCGGAGGTCAAACTTACTCCAAAGAGCAACGAGGTTTCTGGCATGACCGGGCGGTTGGGCTTCGACTTGCAAAAGCAGGTGGAGAAGGATCATCGCTTGGTGGACTACTCCTTAGGTGCCTTGTCTCAGCATTTTTGCCGCATCCCTCTGCCTGAGCTCAGCGCAGCAACACGAGCCAAAGTCCTTCGGTCCCGGCCGCGCGCCTATGCGCAGCACCTGCTTCGGCAAGCAGAAGCAAGCGCAAACATCTTCCATCACCTCGCTTACCTCTACAACTTCGTGGAGCCTCGGCCAGCTTGAAACTCTAAGTGCCCTCATTTTTGAGAAGTGTTCGGAAAGCCGCTTCTGAGGAGATGGCCCGAGTCACAGGCTGTCCATTGTCCTACCTGCTTGAGCGGGGCCAGGCCATCAAGGCCTTTTGAGACACGCGCAATGAGAGTGCCAAAGAGAGTATCGAAAGCTTTGGGTCTTTTTGGAAGTGATGTGTTTTGCCGGAGGTGCAGTGCCAACTCCTTCGAGAAGCCAGACTTCGGGGATTTGTACTTCCGCAGCGACCAGGCGTGGGAGTGGCAAAAATCTTGGAACCACGATTCGAGGCCTCAGGGCCTGTCTTGAGATGTCTTCATCGAGGGTGTCTAGCATCGTGTCGTGTGGTACTCTTGGGGGCTTCACCGGGAGGGCTTGTCTCACATGACATTGTCAGGCAGAAAGCTGATAGACTTTGTCTAGAGTCTAGAGAAAAAGAGATCAGGAAAAGAACTATACCACTCTTGGAGGCACTGGCGAAGATACAACTTACGAGGGCGCGACTGTGCTGGAACCAGCATGTGGTTTTTATCGGTGTCCCATCGCTGTGTTGGACTTCGCCTCTCTCTACCCATCGATCATGATGGCACATAACCTCTGCTACTCCACCCTGCTTCCTCCGGGGCGTGAGAAGAAGCCCGACTGCCCAGACTTTACGGAGTCACCACCAACTGCCGGGAGCGAGCATGCGACTTGTTTCGTCAAGGCGCAGGTCCGCAAGGGACTCCTTCCCTCCATCCTGGAGCATCTGCTCGCAGCGCGGAAAGCGGCCAAGGCACAGCTGGCACAGTGCGACCCGGGCGAGGCCGGAGCAACTCGCCGCAAGGTGCTCCATGGCCGCCAGCTGGCCTTGAAATTGTCTGCCAACTCGGTTTACGGCTTCACTGGGGCGACCAACGGTCCCCTTCCGTGCTTGGAGGTCGCTGGTGCCGTCACCGCATACGGTCGAGAAATGATCCAGGCTACCAAGGCCAAGGTGGAGCAACATTTCACGACGGGGCTGGGCTACGCCTACAATGCAGAAGTTGTTTATGGAGATACGGACTCTGTAATGGTAAAGTTTGGGCCCGAAGGCTTCGCTCTAGACGAGGCCATCAAGGTCAGCAAGGAGGCGTCCACAGTCTGTTCTTCGATTTTCCCTGCCCCGGTGCGATTGGAGTTTGAAAAAGTCTATCAACCTTTCCTTCTCATGGCCAAGAAGCGATATGCTGGTATGGCTTTTGCTTCTTCGAGCAGCTCGCCGGAGTTGGAGACGAAAGGCATTGAGACTGTTAGACGCGATTGGTGCGATTTGGTACGGCACGGACTGGAAGAAACGCTAAAACGCTTGCTGGTGTCCGATGGATCCGACGGCTGTCAGAAGGCCATTGCGCACGTCCGTGATGTGTGTAATGACCTGAGGCAGAACAAGATCGACTTCCGATCCTTAGTAATCTCCAAATCCTTGGGCAGGAACGAGTACACAGCGAAAGCCCCGCATGCAGAGGTGGCGGAGAAGCTCAAGAAGAGAGATGCAACCACTGCTCCACGCTTAGGAGATCGCGTGTCCTACCTGGTTCTTGCAGGAGCGGCTAAAGCAAAAGTCTACGAAAAAGCAGAAGACCCGCTCTACGCGCTGGAAAATGATCTTCCGATTGATGCAGACTACTACTTGGAGAACCAATTGAAACAGCCGCTTGTTCGAGTCTTTGAACTGGTGTGCGGGGATGTGCACAAGGCAGAAAGCCTTCTGTTCGGCGGGCTTACCTCTCAGAAGGTGGTTGTGTCAACCTCGAAAGGAGGTATGGGAAAGTTCGTGAAGCCAAGACCCAAGTGTCTATCGTGTTCTGCCGACATCGACCACGGCGCTGTCTGTACACTTTGCAAAGAGAAGCTGCCAGAGATCAAGGCCCAGGCCTTGGGCCGCGTCCGGGCCCTGGCCGAGGAGCTGAGCCAGCTGCGCGCGGCCTGCGCTCGGGACTGTGCCCTGCCTTCTGGAGCGTTGCCACGGCCGGTTTGAGCATTTTTCGGGTTTGCTATTTGCTACCGTCTCCCATCTGCAAAAAAATGCCGTTTCGGATCTGTGCGTGCTGGACCCTGGAAGGTTTCCGCAGCTGCCTGCCGACGAGCCTGTGTCAGACCAAGGCCAAGCAAGCGAACGATGCCTCAACGAGGGCTGTCCCGTCATATTCAGCCGCGCTCGAGTGGCCAAGCAGCTGGGGTCCGCCAGAGAAGCCTTGCAGCGCCTGGACGTGAAAGAAGCTTGAAAACTTGTTAAACTCAAGCATGTCTGCACAGTGCCGAGCATGCAGGGTGACTGGCAGCATCGGGGCGCGAACTGAACTTGCCCGACTTTCAAAGCGGAGATGCAACAGCCTTATCCATGGAAATAAAGTAAATAGAGAGGAAACGCGCAGCATGCACACAATGCCAATCCACCCGCGTTTCCATATTCTTGAGACATGCCAGAAACCGGGAGCAGGGCTACAGGCGCAATGTGGCTCATCGTAAGTCTGGCCTCGGGGTAATCGGAGAATGAAGCGGAGGCGTGAGGACGAGGCCCCGCAACTTAGCCATCTCTCTCAGCTGCAGTTGCGTTTCCTCTTTGCAGGAGCATTCAGAGAAGTTGTTTCCTCTTCCGCGCCCCCTTCAAGGCACGAATGGCACGAAGACATGTTGGTGGTAATCATGGCTGCTGGCCGTCAGGGTTCTGATAACGATAGTCTACGCTAGTGTTGAAACACACCCTACAGGGCCGGAAGCTGGAAAGCAACACTGAAAGCCGTTTAGCGTGTCTTTTCAGCCTATTTCGGGTGCCCGCGAATGACCGGTATAATCCGACATGGCTCAATATATGGCTCAAGCTGCAGCGTTTTCTTCGTTGGCGCTTGCTGAAATGGGCTCGGCGCCTTCATGCAGCCATCGCGTGGGATGCTACTGCAAGATCGACGAGTCTCGGAATCGGGACTTTTCCGGATGCCTACGCTTCGGGAAGATTACTGGCGTTTGCGCTGCTCTACAGCGACACAACTACGAGTACACGGTGCAAGTTGATAGCGGGGATACCGAGTGTGTCGAGGAGCAGTACCTGCAAGAGCTGTTTTTGCCTGAGCTGGATTGGGTGAGCCCGTACACCCGGGAAGTGGCAGTCTTTCTCGAAACGCACGGTGCCAAGAGGTTCGTGGCAGAGCTTATCCGGCGAACGGAGGACGGAGTGTTTCAAGTCCGATTTGCAGACGGCTCCTTGCTGGAAAACGTGAAGGCGGAGCAGCTGAGCCCACCTGCCGAAAATGCCTTGCGCACATCCCCCAGCAAAACACCACCGGATGCGGATTGGCTCCTGGATCGCAAGATCCAGGCCCGGATCGATGATGTCTGGCCGATGAAGAAGCGCATGAAGGACGTTCTGGCCAAGCTTCGGAGACCGCGGCCGGTCACGGCTCCAATCCTGAGAGGGCCGTTTGTGGGTAAGGATGCCGTCGACTCGGAAGGAGAGCCCCCCATGCCACCCACATACTGTTTCTAGTATCCTCCGACACGGATCTGCATGTCTCGTAGAGTCTTCGGGTCGCAAGATGCAAGAAGATTTCTTCCTTGCCATGGGATCGCCCTGCAGGCTACGCTGCCCATCCGAGGCCTGCGGAAGACTTGGTCGTCGACGGTGAGTTCGTAGACACTTGGGGCAAGTTTGCAGGCAAGGTCAAGTTTGCTTCCACCTTCAAGATTGGCCCTGCATACCCCAGAATGGAGGTGCCTTGCCAGATTCGGTATCGCTAGCAAACCCTCTTGGTCTCGCTGCCGCTCTCTCTCCCCTCCGAGCTCTGTATAAGGTATGGGTGGAGCAGGTTGATGCTGCAGAGCCACTCTACTTCCATGCAGCTTTGCCGGTGCATGCTGGCCTCATTTGCCTAGGCAAGTACGAGGCTGGAGGGCCAAAGTTTTGCTTGTGCTCACAACTTCCCTACTCGTAGCTCGAAGAGTGCAACTGCAGACCCCTAGAAGGGAAATCCTGAGTGGATCCGCGCCAGTGATGTCGCCCTTCTGGGCATCATGATATATGCCGATGGTGAACTTTGTTCCAAGCTTGAAAATCCAGCGCTTGTGAAACATGGTGCACAAAAGTACGGCCATGACAGCTGCCACTATGTTCCCGGCTGTTCTTCGACATATTTGATTGACATGGACTGGATAGGAGCTGTTTTCACTCTGGCGCCCTCGGACTCTGACTTTGAGGTTCAAGACGACATCTACAACATTGTCACGTACCATGAGATTCTGGAGGCAGCATCCAGCCAGCTGCAGGAGCACGGGAATATTTCAGCTGCCGAGCGTGCAGAGGTCCTGGTGCAGGTGGACCTGGTGCTGACGACGAGCTACCTGGCCACGGTTCGTCAGGTTTGCTGTGGTGCGGTTCGGGTGATGTTGACCCAAAAGGGCATGGATGTCTCCCGCAAGCGCCTTAGGCATGTGCTGAAGCACAGGTTTCGCTCACAAGCAGCCCTGTTCCCTAAAAGGCCAACGAAGGACCTGTCGAAGCCACGCTTCGAGGATGGAGTGGAAGATCGAATCCAGAAATATTTGGATTCAACTCTTGGATCCAATTCGAATGCTCTGACCAATTCAGCCAATTGAGTTGTGTCGTAATATGGCAAAGCCATGGTCTCACAGCACTATGAGTGTGTAGGTAGGACGTGATGTTACGGTTGAGAGGATAAAACAGCTAATGGCCGTCCTTTGTCCAGGCTTCGCCAGCTTTCGGGTCACGGCAGTCTCGCCACGCAGGCCGCTTTGTCCTGTACGGCAACATCTGCCTGGACTGTGTCCTGGAGGCATTCGCGCTTGGCTTGCGCATGAAGTTTACAGTAGGTCCTAGTAGGTTCTAGGTTGAAGAGCAAGACGGCGACACCTTTTGCAGGTTCCATCGTATCCCAAAGAGGATTCGTCGCAAAGGCTCGGCTGCAAGGAACACGGCTGGAGACCGGACACTTGACCAACCAGTAGCCGAACCTCCGATGGCTCCTGCTGTTTACCGGGTCACACCACAAGGTGTGTGGAAGCGCAAGACACGATCAGCAAATCAAGTAAGGCTTCAACGCAGAGGGCTGGCCAGGTTTCTCCTGTTTAAAGTTGCAAGTTGGATCAAGTTGGTACGTGTAATTGCAGCAGAACTCCGGCGGCCATGTCCTTTTGGGTCCTGCTTCTTGCTTTCCCCGTAGCCGTGGTCCGCTCCTCAGCCAACCCGCGGGCAGCAGCCAAGCCAACCCTGCACAGTTAGCGACCATGCAAGACCCAACAGGCAAGCACGGGATCGAGCTGGCGATATGGTGCCTTGGCTGCAGACGTTGACGCTTGCAAGCGCGACTTAGCTTGGGCCACATGTGCTGGGAGGCGCATTCATCGACGGAGGCCGCTTGCTCGTGCACGTGTGGTGGTCGCACCGCTACTTGAAACAAAGGCGTGCTGCGTCAGTGACAGGAAGTGAAGGATCCCGCATCTACATCCTCAGATGGAAGCCTGCAGACACGAATCGACGCAGCCTTGGGGGTCCGGAATGGAGGGCTTCGGTGATCTGAGGCAGCACAAGAGCAGCCTTCCCAGCCTAGGTGTGATCATCTCTCCCGAGACTGTCGGCGATCACAGTCCCCCAGCTTCAAGATTTTGCAACTAAAATGCAACACCACTCTCAAAGTGGTCTCGCACATCAATTTTAAAAAAAAAGCTATGCCTGCTGGAACTTCCACTGTGGAAGCGGTGCAGCTGCTAGAAATTCGAAGAAAGATCACGGCGCAAATCTGAATCACTTCCGCCTGCTGAACATGTATACAGCCAGGTGTAGCGACATCTGGAAGTCTGACCAGCCTCGACCCAGCAAAGTCTGCAAGGTACAGAACCTGGCATTGCTTCCTTCGCGCAGCACCCCAGCAGATCCGGCGAGTCGCTGAAGCCCTTGGTGGACTACATGATGCACACCTTGAAGCACGATGCTTAGCTGGCAAAGAGTATGAGCGCGTCTGCTACAGCCAAGCCACAAACGTTCGACATCCGGGTGCGAGGAGTTCTTGTTAGGGAGGAGTGAAGCTCAAGTATCTTGGTTCAGCAATGCGCACACAAACCTGCAAGACGCCACGTCCGCGTTTCTTTCCAGCACATTTGCCTCCAGAATTGTTAACAGATGAACCCCAACTGAGAAGTGCGGCTGTTTCGGTGAGCCTACGTTCGGTTCTGTTGTGGCACGTGGTCGTAAAGAAGCGACAGCTCTCAGGAAACGGCAGGCTGGGCTCAGACGCCGATCTATCTTCGTGCGACAGCAGGGATGCGTCTGCTTTTCCCAGATCAGCGCGAAGCGATTCTGGATGCTGGGCGGCAGGAAATCATAACCAAACCCGAGTGTGTAGCGCAACTCCAGCTCTGAGGAGGACATTCGATCATTTTTCCGAACACTCCCTTTCATGTTCCGCCCGCGACTCAGCTGTGCTGTGCTCGTAGGAGGTTGATGTGCCCGCCAACAAACCATTGGGTATCTTCAGCATAAGTGGAGACTGTCTGCATGACTGAAAGCTGGCACTGACCGAAGATCTCATCGGGTGAAGAATGTATGAGTGATCTACAGCATTGGTTCGTTCAGAAGTTGAAGCTCTGAGAAGTCAAAGAACAGAGACGGAATAGACGATACTCCATGCATCCATTCTGCGGATGTGTCTGGACCTGACTTGAAGTTGGAGCGGAACTCTGGTCGGCCAGCTGACAGCAGATGGTCCCAGAAGCGTCGCTGTTACTGTGTGAGACCCACGCAAACAACGATGATTATTTGAGGGCGCCAGTTACGACAGCACTGCAGCACTATCGTTTTACCATGCAGAAGCTCCGACTCTAGGCTAGTGCAGAGCAGGGCTAGGACCTGGCCTAGGGTCTAGGGCACTACCACTACTGCCGCCACCACCACCACCACGACGACGACTACTACTACTACTGCTACTGCTACTGCTCCTAGTGCTAGTGCCAGTGCGACTACTAGTACTAGGAACTACGAGTACTACTTGTACTACAAGTAGTACTAGTGCGACCCCACCCCTACCCTTAGACTAAGCTGGGCCCTGCATCGTAGGTTCGTCCTAGCCAGGCGGGAGGCAAAAAAAAGCTGGGCCCTCGCTCCAAGGCCTACCCATCGGCTGTCCTAGACCCTTCCCCAAGCCTAGGACCCGGGGCTTCTATACCAGGATGAAGTCTGAAGTACAAACCTATGAAATTCATGCCATCCCCCCAAAGAGTCCAGGCAATAACATGGCTTCTGTTGCCACCGGCGAGGCTTCGGACATGCGGAAAGTTCGGAAAGCACACAGTTGCACATGTAATCTTCACAGGAGGAAGGCGTTTTCGGCTGGATCTCTGCGTGAGTCCCTCAGCCTCTGACCGAAGCCTGCCTCCAGCTTGGGCCACGGCTGTCCCAAGCCTCGCTTCTCCAGGAACTACCTTCTTGGAAATCTGGAGCCCGACCGTACGCCGGCGACAAACACCACCGTGGGTTCCCTCGATTTGGGTGGAGCCTCTGTGCCTTGGGAAGCAGTGTGAACTTCATATGAGAATTTCCATCCCAAGAGAATTCGGAGCCAAGACGCAAATCGTGTTCATGCCCCAGAAGTCCATCATTCAGCACGAGTTTCCCTTGAAGCTCGGCCTAGAGCTGAGCACTGCGCAGCAGCATCGAAGTGCACGGCTTCTCATCGCGGTGCTCTGAGGCCCACACCGGCTTCAGCTTTACTCCTTCTCGTTTCTTCACTTCGGAGTTCGCGAGGCAGCCCGATGCTGCGGCCAAGAAGCCTCCAGCACTTCATAGGCACTTCAAGCCAGGCTGCTCACAGCACAGCCAGCAGAGTTATTTCTGACGCCCTCCTGGCGGTGCAGTCGGCCACTTCGTCTAGCATGAGCAATCAGACCCATGTGGTGCAGTTTGTTTATCAGACGTATGTACCCGAGGAGACGGAAGTTTATCATCCTTGCTTCGCCAAAGGCTACATCTACACACCGAAGTTCTCGTACAGTGCTGCCAGGTTTCCAGCAATCAGAGCAGCCCGGCAGTGTTTGAGGGGCCTGCTGCGTCGGAGACCATGACATGCGCCCGGCCGAGGTGAAGATGCAGGGGACAAGCGACTTTATCCAGTGCGAGCAGCTCATCAGGAGAATTTTCAACAAGGATGCCCCATGCTTGGTGGCGCAATGTCCCTTGGTTTGTGTTCTGAAGCAGTCTCAAGTCCCAAAGGCTTCTTTGGCGCATGGTATGCTAAGGCTCCTTCTATGGGGTCTACCAACCACGACTTTATCACGAGAAGTTCCTGGCGTTCGCGACCTGGCAACAAACAACAAAAGATTTTCGAGATTCTTGACAGCCTGCGCCGACAATCGTGACATCAAGCCAAGGCGCACTTCGCCGAAATCGCTAGAGATCTTGGGCTTCCCGAAACAGCACAACTGGAAGATTTCAGAGCTGCCACACAGTACGTGTCCACGCCCCAGTTCCGTCGGTTTCTGAACAGCACGTGGCCCCAGCAAAGCATAGGTGCTCTTTGACCATTGACATCCTCAATTCCCTCTTCGCCCGGGTTGAGGATAAGGGAAGTTCACCCAGCCCAGCGAAGCGTAGCCTTGTGGATGGCAGGACGACTATGACCGAACTCACTTATGCTTCCATGCAACCTTTGCCTACGTCCTGCTCAATTTTGGCTATGGTATGGAGGACAGCCCATGTGATAGTCTTCCACATGGCTAGGTCCTGCATGATGAAGCCGCAGGAGCAAAACAATCTTGTTTTCAAGACATCACACGCCGGCAAGCCGATAGACTGGGCCGTGGGTGCGATGATCTACGAAATCAATCAGGACGGTCTGCATCCAGATCAGTTCCGGACTTGATACTTCATTGATTTTGAGGACATCCGGCTGTCCTCCCCATTTACCAACGTGAGTGTGGCGAAGTAGCCGCTGATTGTTTTCGAGTTTCCCTGTTAGTTTCGAGGTGGAGCGCCCCTCGCTTTGTGCAGAAAATGGTGCTTTTTACGCCTCTGACTGGAACGCGTCGGCACTTGTAGCCTCGCATGCCTTGCTGCTCCAGGGCAACAGCCTTCACAAAGACGTTGGGAGGCCGGAGCTTCTCGGAGCTCGGCACGTCGAAGCACACAGTCAGACTTGACAGTCCTAGCACGGAAGGTAACGGTGCAAACAGCTGTCGAGCCGGACACTTGAAACCTGATGGCAGCGTGTTATTGCCCAGCATTTCTGGCACCTCGCAAGGTCTTAGCACAGCTGGTTTCATCAGGGCTGGGGCCCTTCTCAGATCCGTCGGTTGCTTCCTGTCCGATTCGTGCCTCGCATGCTCGTAAGCTCGTCTTGTCATGGAAAGGCAGAGTGTGAGCTCCTTAGGCTCAGGCCTCAGCATTTGCAAAGGGGGGGGGGGGGGTGGGGGAAAGGGATGGCAATGCTGCCGCTTTGAATCTGCAGAGGTATAGTCCCGGCTCAGGGAGATGCAGATGCCGAGTTCGCACTGAAAACTCTCCAAGCAGGAGGCACAGATGATCCGAGACAGCCTCCTGTCGAGACGCACATAGACGCACCATGCTCGTTGCAGGAGTGGAGACGTCGCGTCTTGCCTGCAAAGCGAATCATTTACTTTTTTTGCCTGATTTGATGCCTGATTTGAGCGAAGAGCGGTGGCTTCGCAGGCTGCTTCAAAAGGTTGCTGTCCCAGCTCATGTCAAGTGCCTCTACACTGCTAACCCATGGTAAATGTGCAAGCGCATTGGCTCATGCAAGGCCTGTGCTGCCGATAACGCCGGGCTGCCCACAAGCTTTGTGCTGCTGAGATCTTGCCTGAGGGGCTGGTTACACAAACTAGTCGCATCCTGGCCCAGACAGTGGGGTGCGAGGTGCAGACTCCGGGGCGCGGACCATCATTTCCTCGTGCTCACCTCAGGAGAAGCAACGCAGAGTCCCAGAGTTTAGGCACAATGCCGACCTGGCCAAGTCAAGGCGACGCGATTTGAAAGAGATGGATGCGAGTCATTTGAACGAGGTGCTGAAGCAGGCAGTATTCCTGCCAGGGCGATCTCTTGAAATGCTACGGGTGCTACAGAGAAGTGTTCAGATGAGAGCCGATCACCAACATTGCAGCAAAACGAGACCGGAACGATGCCGATCACGAAGACTCTGCCAAACCCCGAGTAGGGGCATGCAACGACTGGAACTTACGTAAAGAGAATGCAAGAGAAAGTGTTGCAATCGCATGGCCCCGGCACTCACACGGGCTGCACGGTTCCATTGCAGTCCTTTGTTGCCAGAGCGTGTGTGCAGTTTCCCTGACCCGAGCAAAAAAAAATCAATCACAAGCAGGATGCCTGGTTCTATTCTCGTAGTTGAGACGGGCAGGTCGAGGACGGTGCACCGCTGTGCTGGCGAGGGCCTCAGCTCCATTCCTCGCGCTGGATCTGCGTCTTCGAGAAGGGCTTCGGATCCAAGCCGAGGTGTCATTTGGAATGCCGCCAGATGCCTGGAGCGGAAGCCTCAAGCTCTCAACAGAAGCAAATCCAAAGGTGCAGCGACAGCAACAAGTCCGAGGTGCTTCAAATGGCCTCGATTCTGCGTCCAGAAGTCCCTGACTTCAGGCCTACCTATGCTTGCTGTCGGAGTTGCATATTCGCGATGGCTAGCTGGCGTTCACACCGGTTTGCCAGAGCAATTGGGCAATGTACATCTGAAGACCCGGGCCAGTATTGAGCCAAAGTCGACAGTGATGTTTCGTATACCACGCAAGACTTTCTTGCTGCAGCATTAGCGCCTACGATGCTTCTCCCTGCTTCGAGTCTTAATGCTGACATCCATAACCGGGTGCGGCACTTTCAGTCGGCATTTTCGGAAGCCTGCCGCAAAAACGAGCCTTCGAAGTGGATTCGCAGTGATCCTCCGTGAGCAGTGCACTGACACGGCTTGCGGATGCAAGGCGTGTCCGCAACAAGGAGACAAGCTTTCATTCACGTGCTGCGGCTCGTGCAGGTCTCCTTTGACGCCAATCCTTTCCGTCGAGGCCTGCGCATTTGTTTTGCCTGCCCTTGCTAGTAGCGGTGAACTAAGCTCGGATAAGGTAGAGAAACCTGCCTTGGAAGTCAAGACCTCGGAAGATGTGTAGACAGGTCGATATGGCACAGTCTTCAATTCTTGGCATTTTTTTCTGCATGGAAGGTGGGCGCACTGCTTCCGTTGTTGCAGCGCTGCCGCAATCCGAGCAACGCGAAACCATCCAAACAAGTATTCCTCCGCATCCGATGTTGACGGCGTTGAGGTGATGTGGCATTTTTCTCTAGCGATTTCATTCGGGCCCAAGCGTCAAACATACTCGGCACGGACGACGTGCAGGCACGGTGCAGCAATACCATGTCCCAAAATTTCTTTCAGGATAGTACCGGACTGCATTCCTGCAGGCCACCGCAGGTCAACCCGAAGACTGGTCAGGATCTCAATGGGGGATGGCAAGCATTGGTAGAAGCATTGAGCCGGCTCAGGCGGGATCACACGGCCCTGCGGTGTTTGCGGGCCCTTGCTTCAAAGGTGGCAGTTGCCTACTGCAATCCGTAGTGCCGCGTTGCGTTCAGTCGACCCGTCGAGGCAACAGAGGGGAGATCGCTCTGGGCTGCGCCCTAAAAGGGTGCCGTGTGAGCAGGAGTCGGTTAGAGTCCACAGGCAGAAAGAAGCCTGTGCCCTTTGCCGCCTCATCCCAGATTTGTCCCTGGGGGGCCTTCGGTGCCTTTGCCCTGGCCAGAAGCTCAGCTGGGGCAGTTGGATAAGCGCCCTTGAGGGTGCGTAGACTGATGTTGCAGTTTCTGCCAGGAAGTTCCTAGCGGGGAGGCAGCGTACCTGGTGGCCGCAACTGTGCCCGGCCGCTTTCATTCTAGATGCAGCCTTTGCAGGTGTATTTCGAGAAGGCGCTTGCAGTCAAGGCCGCCCAGGGAGTCATGTGGCACAGGGCTTTTGAGTCATGATCCCTGGCATTGAGTTCAAGCTGTGGAGGTTGTAGATTCATTGGGAGCCGGAGACACCTTTGTCGCTGCGAGCCTCTGCGCCGCAGGCTCAGTTTTCACGAGCAAGTGCATGCTGTCATCAGCATAGTTGCCCAATGCCGCACTCCCAGTGGTACTTCATTCACATGAGGCATTGGGAGGCGGTGCAGATCCGCAGCAGGCGTTACGTCCCAGCCTTGTCTTGCGCATACGGAGACGAAGACGGCGCGCGGAATGCAGAACTCCGATTGCTGCCGGGGCTCGTATGACCCAGGATTTGCCTGCGCAGTCGCAGGGAAGAAAGTGCTGCGCCCTCGGCAGTGCGTGACTCGACATGTCAGCTCTTCAGCTGGATGCGTCGTGCAGGTCACAGGTAGGGCTTGCAGGCCCGCCACCCAGTTTAAGGGAATCCGTGCAGAATGTGAATGTGGGATTTGAGACACTGTCCCCTTGGCCAAGCATTTCTGCACCTGCTCTGCCACGTTTGGCTCGAGTTGTTGGCCATGTGCCTCTTCCCTCAGCATCGCAAGGTGCGGGCCTACAACCATTCGTGATGAAGTTGTACGAAGTTGAGGTCCCTCGCGCATGCTACTGACAGGTGTGTCTTGTGAGGAACTGCACACGGTGGCCACGAGGTGCCGCTGAACCGAGATATCTAAGGTCTTTGTCAGAAGCGTTTCGCAGGATGTTGAAGACTAAGAGATCCCTTCAAGAAGATGGAGGTGATGATAAGAGACCGAGACGGGAGGACCAGAGTCGACGTGATTGCGTCGAGCATTACATCAGCCATGCCGCAGGAGTATGCTGACCTTTGCACCCCAACTTTCAAGCTGCTGGCTCCACGGACGTTGGCCAGTGCGATTGCGTGTACTGGCCTGCACTTGACCAACTGCGCTCACGGCTTCAAAGCATCACCCTCTCACCGTAGTCGCTCATGTCCGAGGTTCAGTCAATCAGTCATCGAAAAGACAGCCCAAGGCCGGGAAGCCTGTAGGTACTCGTCGAAGTACGAACTGTGCGTGGGATCGGCCGATTATGCCGCAATGTCAACCAGCGAACGTATGCTTTCTATCTAGGCTCACAAGCCCATGGCTAGACATTGCCTGCATGTCACCCCGACCACAACCTTAGCCTTAGCGAAACCACTGTGCGAGGAATCGTTTGCAGGTTGTCCGGGTGATATTTGCCGCAGGACTTGTGTAGCCTGAATCATAACATGATCGGGACGGTGGTCGTGATTTGCAACACACGAGCATGTGTCCGACGCTTTTATCGAAACCGGGCCCTAAACTGGAAGGCATGTTGCAGATGACCGGATATGACGATGCTTATCCCGGCACCCACCAGCAGGCTTGGTTGGCTTCTCGGTGCTAGCCCCTCCGCCACTGTGCAAATGCTGCACAGGTTGTCACCATCCAGTCGCCAGGATGGGAGCACATTGTCACTTGGAGAGACTTGCAGCGTCGCACACGCATGGAGTGCACGCAGTTCGGGAAGCCTAGACAGACTGCCAGGTGGCTGCTGTGAAGCAAATCTTGCGCATGGTCAACAACTGCCACGAGTGCATCATACCTGGGCGCGAGGAGCGATGCCTGGCAATCGCCGCTTGAAACCAATTGGAGCTCTATGCGAACACCCAGTACCTTCGCACTTCCGCTCCTGCTACTCCGGCACGACGTGGGTCAGGTCATGCCATCGTGCTGCATAAATACGCTTATCGGCGTGGAAGGCATGACACAGATGACCTGGCTCTCAGTGCATTAAACCAGTGAGGGCTGCTGGACATCTTTGCTTTGCAGGTGCAAATGCAAGGGATCTCCAGCTGCGAACGGGCTGCCGCATACACTTGGACGACGTCGCCATAGGCAGCCGCGCATGTTTCACATGTTTTTTCAAAACGTACACTTGACGTGTGCATGGTTATGCAGTTTCCATACATGTACCAAAGATGTCTATATATAGACATAATATATATATACATATATGCGTGTGTGTCTGTGTGTGAGTGTGTTTTTGCATATACACATACATTCGTGCTTATCCATCTTCGAGTATGTATGTACATATATATATACACATATTAGAGAGATAGATAGATAGATATATATATATATACTACCCCTCATGTACCTACGCTTTGCGCTTGAATCGTATGGGATGGTCGTACCCTACAAACCTTTCCAATCTCTTGGTCGTATCTGAGTTACCTTAAAGTACTACTATATAGGTTCTTCTATGCCAGTTTCACTGGTACCTTTACCAATGAAATGGTCACCGTTACCGCTGTCTTTATTACTGTGGGTATAGTCAAGGTTCTGGCCCGCACCGCCACCAACATACGCAAACGTTCTTAATAGAGCGATGGCACATTCAGCAAAGACGCTTGTTCTTCACGACCAGCTGAGAGAGGTTTGTTATTGGTCAAGACCAAAGAGAATTTAACATGCTTTGGCTCCTTATTACACCGCTTGACTACTGTTGTTGCTACTTATTGAACGAGTCTGCTGTTGTTCTCGCGCTCTGTTTTATAGCAGCTGAGAGTTTTACATGTTTGTGCTGGGTTTACTTCATCTTAAGCCTGTGCATCAACTAGGTCATGTCCATCTTTGGCACCTAATAAGTGATGGCCACTAAACACTCCTGCATGTTGGAGTTTTTCTGTGAATTGCTGATGTTGCACTGGCTAGGTCTCTTACTGTTAGTAGCAGATAAAGCCATACAAAAATGAAACACAGCAATTAAAGACAGCCCCCACAATGCATACATAAAGCAACATAAGTAAGTATGTTATACATTTAGCTTTCGAAGTGTGTGAGTTCACCCAGCACACTTTCTTGATAACACGAGTTTCCCATAGTAAAGTCTTCAATTGCAGACGAAGAACATAGTTTCATATATGATGGCCAGACGAAGATAATCAATGAAGTGGTCTTCTCTTAGTAGTGTCTTCAAGCAGAGATCAACAACTTCTAGTTTTGTACAGGGCGAAAGGATAAATTTCATAAGAATGTTTGGCGATAGGCAAGTGCCTGCCATGCATGTGCAATCAAATCGCTAAAAAACATATGTGTGCCCAACAGCAACTTCGTATTCAATCCATTCAATCCGCTAAATACACTATCAAACTAGTGATTAGACCGAGGAGTTCGGGGTTTAGAAGATTCCGGTTTGAAATCAGAGGGCGCCCCATGCATCAGAAGCTTCATCTTCCGAGACTTCGAAGTTCAGGGTTAGAAGAGCTTTGATGTTAAAGTCAAGGGCGCCCCATCAGTCCCAGGCTCCATCCTCCGAGTTGAAGGTTTAGAAGAGCTTGGATTCCAAATTCAGTTTGCCACGGCAGCGCTTGTGCCAGTGCAAGCATTCTATGATTCTATGTTTCAGGTTTTAATGATGCCATGTCTTCCTATCACAACCATCACCATCGCTACTGGCCTCACTTCGTTGTCATACATCTTGTCATTTGGATGTTTTCCGACTGCAAAATTAGGAGGCTTAGGGATCTTTATTTTCAAGGCGATTTAAGACAACAGTGTTCCATTCGTGATATAAAATACATCAAAGCTAAGTTGGCCTGCAGTGCAGCACAATCACCATAGCGGCGTAAATCGGCATTAGGGGCGAATCGGTGCATGTCGGACTACATCGGCATATAAGCGGCGTATCGGTGCACATCAGCGCAAGCGGCTTATCGGAGTATGTCGGCGTATAAGTTAACAACAATTCAACTATAACATAAACATACATACATACATATATACATACATACATCAGCACACTCACACACACACTCTCTGAGCGTGTTTATCCATTTTGAGTGAACTATTTCTTGGTCTTGTTCTTTGCGTTGGCTGCAGTCTTGCTTCACATTGCTAGCTGCGCAGGACAGAAGCATCAGTGTGTTTCTACCAGGTAGATTCTGCCAAGTCTGCAACTCCAGCTGCCTTCCCAGCCTATCTATCCTTGTTTTCAACATGGTTTGGAGATGAATTTGCATTTGGAGTTCAATCAGCAACGATGCGACTGCATGCTGAAGCCACCTAGAGTACAGATCCAGGGGTCACAATTCCCACACCCGCTTTAGCCACAGTGATGTCAAAATACTTTCTGCAAAGTACTTCATCAAGAAATTGCTCATGGAGCCGCTGGCGTCTGCACCAGCCGGAAGTACCTCTGCGCCTGGCTCCGTGCCCGCTATACCGAATGGTCAAGCCGGTCAGTCGGGTGCGGCGGCTCCGAAACATCCACCACCGCTCTTTCCGTTGCGAGACTTTCTGAGTCAAAACGGCGTTGTGTCTCTTCCCAAGACCCGCGTCGTGGACGTTGGCGCCATGTTTCTCGACGAAGCAGAGGAAGTGTGGCGGCCACTGCAAAGGAGGGGGCACTGTGAGTCCGTGGTAGGTTTTGAGCCGTGCTCAGAAGAGTGTGATCGGCTCAACACCTTGATCGACAGCTTGAGTGCAGATGGTGAGTCTGGGGCAGGTACCGACTCTTGTGTCTTTAAATTTTTGCCATGGGCTCTGGGTGATGGCTCCAGGGGCCAATTCCGACGCTGTTCTGCAGCAATGACTTCTTCAATGCTAGAGCCTAACATCCCGTTGCTGCGTCGCTTCGTGCAGCTGGAGGAGGTCACAACTGTGGTGGAGCGCACTGAGATGGAAACGAGGAGGTTGGATGACCTCCTCCCCCAGATTCCAGGAAGAGGAGTGGACTACTTGAAGATCGACGTACAGGGCTTCGAGCTGTCAGTACTGAAAGGAGCTGAGCAGGCGCTCAAGGAGGTCTTGGTGATTCACACAGAGGCCCCTAGGCTTTGCCCGGCAGCGCTTCATGTTGGTGTAGAGCCGCATATAACTGCAATGCGCCATTTTTTTTTTTCGGTTCTGGAGCGTTCTGCAACTAGAGATGCGGTTCTGAGGTGGAGTTTGTCGATATGTACGAGCACCAGCCACTTTTTGCAGATGTGGACAGCTTCCTTCGGGGCCTAGGTTTTGTCTTCCACCGCTTCGTTTCACTGCATGGAAGGCCAATGAAACCTTTGCACCTCTCGGCGAACCCTTTGCAACCCATCTCCCAGCAACTCTGGGCCGATGCCGTCTATGTCCGGGACCTCTGGGAGCTTCAGACTCACTCAAAGGACCACCTCTTGAAGCTTGCGCTGATCCTGCACGAGATTTATCACTCCTATGACGTGGTGCTGCACGTTCTGCAAAAGCCGCTTGTTTCAAATATCTTGCCCTGTCAAGGTGTGCTGTTTCGCATAGCGATTTTTCGGCATGAGCTCATGGATCTTTCCCGTGGGCCGCGGCGTACTGGCAACAGTAGAGAATTGCCCTGCAAGGTACGATGCGACTTTGGGCAAGTCATACTTGGACAGAATCCTGAACGCTAAGTGACACTGCCGTCCGCATTGATTGTCTAGAATCAGGCAGCGTTCTGGATGAAAGCGAGTGAAATGACGAAGTGGCTTTGCATCGGGCCAGCCTTGGGAAGCCCCTGACACTTGACTTCACCGTGACTGCTAGGCCATGGGCCTGGTGGCGACAGGGTGCGGTGCAACGTAGGGGCTGAAAACTAGGTCACGGCAGAACAAAAGCGAAGCACAGGCAGTGAACATCATCGGAGTGCCAGAGGGGCTGGAGGAAGCCATCGCGTGGAGCTTAGACCGGTTCATTCAGGGGCACTCAAGCCATGGCTAGCTGAGGTGTGGACGGTACAAGTAGTACAAGCGTCTCAGCCCAGGACTGCCAAAGATGGATTGGATTGATTGGATCTAGCGTATCGTGCAAGTGTGACCTCCCAGCAACGCAGGGTTTGGTTTAGAAGATGGGCAGAAAGAAGCAACGCCGAGAGGCTTTGGCAAGAACAGGCGCGCTGAGAGTGTCACGAGACCGCTTCAGCTCGACCGGGCCAGGCTCCGCCACCGAGGGGTTGGCAGGTGGAGCGACAGAACGGCCATCAGGATGCTTGTTGCATCCTTACAGTAGCACAGCTTCCAGGCTTATATGAAACCTGCACCGATCTGCCGATCCAAGGTATGGGAAACGTGCCCATGTCGCGACCTCGGCTTGCGAACGTTCGCAGATAGGGTGGCAGGAGGCCCCAAGTAGAGGAACATGTGCGGGTGCAGCGGTCACCTTAAGGACAGGGAGCATGCCGGCTGCACTGTTGTGCAATATGTCGTTGCCCCAAAGGAAAGGCAAGCTAAAAGCATCCACTTGGCTCTTGAAATGCAAAGCATTTTCAACCTGAGGATGGGAGTGCCGGGTGGCATGGGTATGGGCGAAGTGGGGATGCCGCCAATGAGCCTAGCAGGCATCGGTGGCATGTGGGGTTCCGCCACGAGCGAGGGCTTCGCAAGAGGCTGCGAGATGGGCTGCGGCCCGTGCGAGTCGAGCATGGGGAGCTGCTACGGGCGAGGCAACTTCTGCAGGGGAGAAGTGGGCGGAGGTTGTGGCATGGAGGCTGCCAACCTTGTCATGCACATCATGGACGACATGCCCTCCTTCGTCACACAAGATCCTCGCAGCTGTGTGATGCAGTGCATGGTGCCTGCCTGCCGGATTCTGAGCTTTCTTGTTGCTCAGGGCACACAAGTATTGCTGTTGACTTGACGTGAACAGAAGGTATGGCAGCAACACTGCAGCAGAAGGCACGCTGGCCGGACAGATTGCTTGGCAAGTCGGTAGTTGAGATGCTGCATATTCTGCGTGGTGATCATCGGCAGGCCATACACGTGATGAAACTTACCTCAAGCAGAATTACTTTCGTTGGCGCTGCCTGTTTTTACATCATGATCTTCCAGGCAAGCTGCCCTTCCTCCTCTATAGTTTAAAGCTTTATTATATTTTGGATCTCACCAGGGGCCCTTGTTCAACGTTTGCGCCAGCTATATGCTAATGATGCGGGGGCCCAATGCAAGGCCCAAAGTGGCCAGAACAGCTGCAGCACAAGACTTGACATTTGTGCGCTCTGCGAGTGTGACCCTAGGAGGCGGTACCTGGAGATTGAAAGGAATGGTTTTTGAGCAAAGGCCTTGCATGACTCGCTGCCACTGCCCACACCCTCTGCTCATGTCCTTTTTGCATGAAGACGGGTTGAAGTACCACAGATCCACATGTCAAGTTGTGATCTCGTTGTGGTCGCAGATGTGACACGGAGATTGCTTTTCCACCTGTCCAGCTTGTCCTACCAGAGCGCGTGCGTGCCGCACACGGCCAGCTTGCTTGGGAGCAAAGCTGCGCTGCATCTCAAGGGCGCAGGACGGGTAGTCCTCAGCAGTCTCACAGATCTCGACGCAAGCCAGGCACAACGACACATCTAATCTTAGTCAGACAAACTGGATTTGCTGATCACGCAGGGTGCGGATGTTGGCAAAAAGGCCTTTGACTTGCTGTATCAGCCACCTTGCAGCCTTGCGGGACCCAATCACGCTGCATCGTTGACTTGTCACGCTGCACCCATGCCGAGGCTTGAAATCGTCCGTGCCTGCGGATGTGCCATGGCGCAGCTCATGATGCGATGCGAATCAAATCTGCTAGGGCCGCAATGTTGGGGCCGCCGGCCTTCATGACATCATGCGACAGCAATTCCAGCCGCGATGACTTTCACGTTTCCAGGCTGGCTGAAGCATGCAAGCGGTTGTGGGACATGCAGACCATGGGCCATCGAAAATGTCCAAAGGATCCCACAACCATGATCGCCACTCCCGAGATCTGAGATGAGTTCTTACGTTAAAGCCACGCTGGCGCTGCTAGATTCTAGATGCCTTCTTTCATTCTGATGGCTTGCTGCGATCCCCAGCGGTCGTATGCTTCGGAATGTGGCTCGATGATGGGGGGTCAGCGGCGCAGGTGCCGGCTGAGTTAGCACAGTGACACTGGGTAGACTTTGCTGTTGGCCAAGGCTAGTCATTGTCACGATTGGCGTTGAGTCCTGAAAGGCGACATCGCAAGCAAAGACACATCACAGTGCTGGCAGCCCGATGATCTTGTTTGCAGAGAAGCAGGCAAAAGGACGCAGCCAATGCGCAACATGTGTCTGTTGCAAAGGTCCCATATGCCGAGAGCAGGGCTTGCACCCAAGGGTGCAAAGATGCAGAGATCAGGGGATGGCTGCAGCGCGCCAGCCCTCAGAACGCGCGCAGAACCGCTGCCACAGCCCAGGTCATCCAGGCACGTCAGGCCGTCTGCCCTGCGCACTCCCGAGACCTCCGAGACAGTGGGCGGGCCACTCGGCCAGACCGTGCTTTCGCTAGTGACGGGCAAGGTCCTGCAGCTACCGCAGAGAGGCAGGTGGGTCGAGATCTCAGAACTCAACACGAATGTTCACCCAAGTTGCTGGGGCGCAAGCTTATGTAGCGAACTTTCAATGGCTTTCTACGTTTGCAACATCCGTGGTCTGGTAGTAGTGTAGGTGAGATCGAGGCATGTCGGAAGCCGCAGAAGCACGCGTCGCCTGGGCCTCTAAGTCGCAGAGTGGCGATCCTCAGTTCCGACGAAACCATCAAGCCTCAGCATTTTTTCAATGCTTGGCAGAGAGGCCGACAGAGAAAGCAACTATCGTGGAGACTTCCGAGATTTCTGCACCGACACATGTTCCACAGGCAAAGGCTTCCACCGCTGAATCGGTCCTGCAGAAAAGGCGCTACCACTGTTCCCCGCACAGGTCAGGCCACAGGCTGATGAGCTCAGCCATCTTGAGCACCAGGTGAATCTCGCATGCGCACCTCCTCTGCGTTAAGATAATGTAGAGTCTGTAGACCCGGGTCGCTCGTGTTCGAACGGACAAAAAACAGCACAGCAGGCACTCCTGCGAAGCGAACAACGAGGGCAAGCACGACAGGCTGTGCCGGTGAGAAAGCGATGAGCAGAGCCAGACACCTCGCATCTGCATCATACAGCACAGTCACTGCAGGTGTCGGAGAATGCGCTCCAGCAGCTGCAGCACCTGAAAGCCCAAGGCGTTCAAGGTAGCATCCCACTTGTTCTGGAACAAGTTGTTGGAATGCTGTATTCGTTCAGGATCGCGCGCCCTTGAATACGCTCTCCGTGCCACCCTTGGCAGCAGACGGAAGTTAGCAGGTACTCGTATGGATTGTCACACCTTTGCGTTTCTGCAGGCGTCAACTTGGCGTGTTCCTTGGATTCGGTCTATGCCTGAAGCCAACATGTACACAAGATACCAAGCTGAATCACTGGGCACACCTGCCCACCGAGGATGTTCATGGCCGAAAATACCAACTGCAGCAGGCGTCGTGTCCGCCAGCATGCAGCGATATGTCAACACCTGTTTATGCAAACTTCCTGTGGCAGAGGCCATGACAGTTCAACCCAGTCGAGTTGAGGCACAACCCGGGCCCCTGTTGTTCTCAGTGAGCAAGCATGTGCCAAAGACTTGGTGAGGCAAGGTTCCAGCTGGCTGCAGTCATGGTCGAGGTTTGCCAATGAAGCCAGCACGTGAGCGACATTAGGCAGCTGTCACGAAATGTCACGAACATCTCCGTGCAAACAGCTCCAACAAAATCCCAATTCGGATGCTTGTCGCCTCTCCTCGTTTGCGCGTGCAGGAAGGCAATTACTCGGAAGCACTGTGCACACTTGAAGAAGTTGGCGCCTGAACTGCCGAGATCTTCCGAGTGCTGAGTCAGAACGCGGCGGCCAATGCATGCGATGATGAGGCTTTGAAGTTGGATCCACGCGATCTGAACTGTGTGGGCCTCATGTGGCATGGAAAGAGGAAAGAGCCTGAAAACGGCCGAAAGAGGCTGAAAGCGCTCAGAATCCATCCTTCGAAGCTTGTATTTGCCTTTCGAGGCCTCGCGCTTACATGCCGCTGTTTGGAAGGAGCCAGACATTCCGGTATGCTCGTAGTGCAGCTGCGCTAAGCCAGTTAGCAGCTAGTGCACAAGCCCCAATGGCAAAGACAGGATTGGGACGTCACGCGGAGGTCGTGCTTTCAAGTGATACAGACAGCACAGACAGCAATGTGCGCCAGTGTCGTTCCAACAGGCGCTTGCTGCCGCCGAGCACTTGTGCGGCTTGGACCCCGCCTCCACGCGCACGTCCAAGTTCTTGCAGTGTAATCTGCAGTTTCCGAGCTCTCCTCGAATGAGGTTCCTTGCCTTGAGGGAGGTCTTCCACTGCAGGCCAGATGATGCCACAGCCTCAATGCATGTCATCTGCAAGCAGAGGCCTGAGGCTTATTTGCCTCACCTGCTTCGCCTAGCTGCGAGACGCGAATCGCCTTGACAAAGGGCCCTTGCAAGATGTGCAGTGTGATGAGTAGGTGTTTGTTGTCACCTTCCCACGCTGTGGAACTACCTGGATGGCGAGCGCCTCGGAACAGACTGCGGTCGTATGACGGGGTGCCACTACTTTCAAAACCGGACTTGGCCTCAGGTTCAGATCGTGGTGAGCTGTCTTTTCGGACCGCGTGCGAACTATGCAGCAGTCCGAGTCGGACAGTGCAGACGCTCATTCATTAACAGCCCGGACGTCTCACATGTGTCTCTGCGTGCATATGCTGCCACTGGACTCAGAGGCATCTAACTCACGGATGATTTCATGCCTCAGCAAGTCGGAGCATTGTTGCACTCAGATCTCACTCTTTCTGCACAGCAACGCATGCACAAACAGAGAACCCAGACATGAACCGGCCACAATGGGATACCAGATCAGCCTGCAAACACGTCAGCAGGTGGAACACGGCGCCTGGGCAATCTACACAAGCCACACTCCGCTGACAGGATAGCTACTCGTAGCTCATTCCTTGCAAGCAGCACGAATGGCGTTCGCAGCCCATGTCTCTTGTTCATGATGCGGTGACGCTGCACATTGCGGTCTTTGTCCCCGCAGGGCTCTTTTGCCTTCAGCGGCTTTGCAAAAGCTCTTGGAGGCGTCTGCAAAGTGCCGATGTCTGGTATCTGGCCTTCCGGTCAGGCATGCGCTTTGTCTCCTGTGACATGGGCAGGGCAGGTATGCAGCATTTGGTTGCTCGTCTCCCTCCCGAACTCCACCAACTCGAATTACGTTTCCGTTGGTGCAGTATCGGTAGTGATGGAGCAGCTGTTCTTGCACGCAGACTGCCACGAAATCTGACAAACTTGCAACTGGCATTTCGCGGCTGTGGCATAGGCGCCCCGGGGTTAAGAGCTATTGCAGAGTCATTGCCGGCATCTTTGCAAAAGCTGCATTTGTCGATGCGGGGCTGTCCTGTTGGAGGAGAAGGTGCACGGGCAGTGGCTCGCAACCTTCCTTGCGAACTGTCAGAGCTGTGTTTGGACTTTCGTGACTGCCGCTTGCCAGCAGCAGGTGTCCGCGCCCTTGCCCAAAACCTGCCCGAATTACTGCGACTGCAAGACCTACGGCTCCACTTGGGCGGATGCGACCTCCTAGCCGAGGATGCTTGCATTGTTATGTCACAGTTGCCTTCAAGCCTAGAAGCGCTGCAGTTGGGATTCGAGGGATGTCCACTCGGAGCCAGCGGAGCATATGCTGTGGCAGAAGGCATACCACAAGGACTTCGGTCATTGCATCTGGACTTGGATTGGTGCAACATTCAGGCAGACGGAAGCGTAGCGCTCTCGAGAAATCTTCCGCCACAACTCGAGAAGCTACATTTGGGTTTAGGCGGTTGCTCCATTGGACGTGATGGGGCATGTGCTTTAGCGCAAAGCCTGCAAGAGCTGTCCTCGCTGCAGAGTCTGCGCGTCGACGTCGCGCGCTGCCGCATCACAGTCGTCGGAGCCAGGGCTCTGCTGCAGAGGCTCCCTCTTGGCAGCCTCCAAACCATGCTCTTGGACTTCCGCGCGTGCGGAATTGACATCGAGGAACGCCAAACCTTGAGGGATCTCATCCCGACCTTCTTAGGTCCTAGGACTGTCCTCTTCTAGTGCTTGCCGCTAGACCGTTTCACATTGATTTCTCGTGCGACAGGAAAAGCCCAGCAGATCTTGCAGCTGACTCCTCGCCTGTATTCTGTTGGCCAAGGAAGATCATGCTCTCTTCCTCGAGGGAAGCTGGCCACCTAGTCGGCCTATTCACAATTCAACTGCGTCTGCTCGGACTCGCCGCCCTCGCCTTGCTTTCTGAGGCATTGCATCCTCTGCTAGCTATGCAGGAGTCTCGCATTCCCTTTTCCCAGACTAGCATTGTAGCGACGAGTGGTGGTATGTCACATCGAACAGATCTGGTTGGACAAAAGTCAGGTCCGAAAACTCGAGGAACTGCCACAACCACGCGTTCTCAAGAGTCATGTTCCCGCTGACATGCTCGGGCCCCCAGCTGGTTGTCAAGGAAGCTCCAGCTCTGTAGAAGTGCAGTGTTCTTTTGATCTTACATGGCGGGATTGGCGTAGAAACTCAGGTATCCAGGATTGGCCCATGGTAAGGACAGCATACTTCAAAGGTACGGGAAGGCAGGTTCACGTTTCTGTGCATCCAAGTCGTCACAATGTTGCAGGGAGTTCGGAATATCTTTGGAAGGTGATCTACGTGGTGCGCAATCCGAAGGACGGG